TGCCCTCCATCTACCGGATTGTATATGATGTTGATTATGAAAGACATATATATATATATATATATATATATATATATATATATATATATATATGAAAAAAATTGATGAACTCGAAATAACTTCTCTAGAGGTAACTACTAAAGTAAGTTGTAACCTATAAGAAATGCATTAAATTATTAGAATTTAATGAAATAAATTAGGAAAGATAATAATGTACACGTTAGAATTTTTAACCTATGAGCAAAGCAATTGATGTAATATGCATATGGACACTCTTTAAGAAATAATGCTTGCAATCCATTCCATTCTCCACACATATTGCTAGCTCCATCATATCTTTGACCACACATATTCTAAATGTTAAGACCTTATTAAGAAAAAATATTGCACAACTCTTGCTTAAGTGTTAATGTCTGTAGTATCTCAAACATGAACTAGTTCAAAAAACCATTCTCGAATAAATCCACCATTATCAACAAACCTCAAAACTAAACCCATTTGCTCTTGCTTGGATTCATCACTTGCTTCATCCACTAAAATGCAAAATTTAGAACTCCCAATCTCTTCACGAATATGATTTTGAACCATACTTACAATGTTATGAACAATCTTCTTTTGGATTTGAGATGAAGTATATCGAGCATTAAATAGAGCATTTTCTAAAACAATTTTTTCAACTTCATCATTATATATTGACAACTTTGTCATTTCAAGAAAATTTTCCTGATTTTTAAAACTTGATGACTCATCATGTCCTCTCAATGCATAAGCTTAGATATTCAACCACCGAGTAATATCAATGGTGGTTTTATGGCGCAATCTATTTTTCAATTTCTCGCTTCGAGGTTTGAACATGTATAACATTTCAAAAATGCCTAGATTGATTTTTAAGATTTTCACAACACCTTTTTGCATTGTTGTGTGGTGAACAAGGACTCTCTCCAATGTGCTTAAGAAATGCACATCTCTTCCCATCTCTAACTTTTTTCCAATTCTAAAGTCTTTTAATGGTGAACACATTAGATCCGGGTCGATCACTTGGTGCTTTGCTAAAAAGATAGCATGACAAGTAATATGTAGCATCTTTTGTTATTGAGTATTCTAACCATGAATGAAGAATAGTAAACCATGAAACTAAAAACCTATGAGGATGTTTTTCTGAATTTGAGAGAGGATAGCTTTCAAGATGTATTTGATTTGGTCCCTTTCTTAAATATCATCTTCTAATTTTATCTTTTTGGTTGAATAGGTATTCCTAAATTTGAGGACGTCATCCTAGATCATGTTCCAAATCATCAACATCAATTTCTTCATGTTCTAAACTACAAGCATCAACTTATTCATTTTCTAAGCCATAAGCATCAACTTTTTCATTTTTCAAACCATTAGCATCAACTTCTTTATGTTCTAAAAGCATTAACATCAACTTCTTCGTTCTCTACACCACTACAATCAACTTCTTTAAATTCAAATCTTGGACATTTAGAAGGCTTCTCTTGAGAAGAATTTTCAATTCGTCCACTTTTATGATTATAATCAAGTCTTCTCTTGAAAAATGAATTAATTGTCCTTAACTTCCCCATAATGAATTGATAAATTCCTAAAACAATCAAACAAATTAATAATGCTAATTTTTATATTATGAAAAAAAGTTTAAATTTATGCTAATAAACTCAATTTTTATCTTTAATGTTATTATCATAACACTGCCAATTTTCACTAATCAATTTAAATATTAGAGCATACTCATTTTAATTCTATACATAAAAAATAATTCATTATAATTAACTCCTTATTAGAAGACAATAAATCATCATAGAAGTCATAAATGACATAATTTTAGTATTAATTAAAATCATAAGATATAAACATATATCTATCACAATTATATGCATAAAAATATAATTCATTTGTGTTTTGTCATGACTCATAGTCAATAAAGTATAACATAAAAGAAAAATAAATAAAATACTAAAAATATCATTCTATACAAAAAATTTATATAAATTTAAAATTTTAAAAAAATAAATAGAAAGTATTGTTTTGATGAAGTTTGTACTTTTGTAATAATTATCCGTTGATGATGCCAGAATTTAGCATTAAAAAGAATAAACTCCAAAGAAATTAATATAGAAAAAACAAAGAAGAAGATGGTGGGGGAAGATGGAAGAATAGAGAGAAGACATAGATGGTGGGAGGAGATGGAAGAAAAGGTAAGGTAAAATAATATAGTGGGAAGAGATATTTAATTGGTGATATATTTAGTGGGGAAAGATATTTTAATGGAGACAGATAAAATACTCTTCTTTTTTTTTTCTATACAAATATATTAATAGTTTTTTTTTTTTCCAAAAATTTTGGGAGGCCCATATGCATGCCCCCCATCTTCTGCCCTGTCAACATCAAAGGTCAAAACAATGTTGTTGAAGAATTGCAGACTAATAATGCTGTGGCTTTAATCTGTCGGCTGCAAGTCTTTTATGCTTACTTGAAACGTTTGGCTTTGAATTTTACATTCCATGCTTCAATAAGTAGAACATTGATTGTAATCGGTCAATACCAGACTAATTTATCTTTGTTGAAGTTTATGTACTGTCCTCATATGTTTCTTTATCATTCCATTCCTCTTAAAAATAAAGCACACCTGCCCTTTCTCCCTCGTTTTTTTCTTTCTAAATGATAGTCATGCATGTTTTTATTAGAGTTCTGTTTTAAAGTTGTTTCACGAGCTTGAGGAATTCAGTTATCAATCAAAAGAATGTTCATTTACGGGCATAGTATCAAGAAAGAAGAATTGACAAGAGTAATTTTTTCTCCTAGTATTAAAAGAGAGAAAATTCGGATATTGTTTTATACAGTAGGAAAAAATTATATAGATGGATAAAATTGACCATCCTCTACGAACGAGGCTAATCAAAGATGACTGGAGAAATTAAGAACCGAATGAATTGTTTTCTTATCATCGGAAGATCCTTTGTTTATATGAGGAAAATTAAATTAAATTATGTAAGTTAAATCTTATCATAACTCAATTTTTTGCTCCTATAATTATTTTAGAAATTTCTTTATTTACATAGTATAGGTTTCCTATGATTTTTTTTATTATTATTAGGTTTGTTTTATTTAGTTTTTAATTTTGGATTAATTTTCCATTCATTATTTTATCATAAATACAAAAAAAAAAAAAAAAAGAGGAAAAAAAAGAACACAAAAAAAGAATTAATTTCAGATTTTATCATTTAGGATTGTGAGTGTAATTAATGTGAAAGTATTATGGGCCAATTTGGGAAAATCAGGAATTTCAAAGAACAATAAAAAAGAATTGAGGATCATTTTGTAGGAATTAAAAATAGAAGGACCAAAATAATCTAAATGAAGGGTTGCAATTGAAAATAATTATAATACTTAAGGATGCCAATTGAAAAGGAAAGAGAACGACAGGATGAACGAAAATGTTTGTATCGAGCGGCATGTCGTCCCGCTTGCTCTGATTTTTCAAAATCCCAATCTTTTTCTCATCACATGAGTGATCATATGAAGATCCTTTTGCTTATAATAGGAAAAACGTATATGGATGGATAAGGTTGAGCATCAAGAAAGAAGAATTGACAAGAGTAATTTTTTCTCCTAGTATTCAAAGAGAGAAAATTCGAATATTATTTTATAAAGTAGGAAAAAAGAATATAAATAGATAAAGTTGACCATCCTCCACGAACGAGGCTAATCAAAGGTATATACAAAAAAAAAAAAAAAAAAAACGAATGAATTGTTTTCTTATCATGGAAGGTCCTTTGTATGAGGAAAATTAAATTAAATTATGTAAGTTAAATCTTGTCATAACCTAATTTTTTACCCCTATAATTATTTTAGAAATTTCTTTTTATTTACATGGTATAGTTTTCCTATGAATTTTTATTTGTATTATTATTATTAGGTTTGTTTTATTTAGTTTTTAATTTTGGATTAATTTTCCATTCATTATTTTATCATAAATACAAAAACAAGAAAAAAGAGGTAAAGAAAATACAAAAAAAAATAATTTAATTTCAAATTTTATTATTTAGGATTTTAATTGTAACTAATTTGAAACTATTATGGGCCAATTTGGAAATATCAGGAATTTCAAAGAACAATAAAAAAGGAATTGACGATCATTTTGTAGGTTTTAAAACTAGAAGGACCAAACAAATCTAAATGAAGGGCTTCAATGAAAATAATTAAAATACATAAGGATGCCAATTGAAAAAGAAAGAGAACGACAGGATGAACCTAAATGTTTGTCTTTATCGGCATGTCGTCCACTTTCTCTAATATTTCAAAATCCCAATCTTTTTCTTATCACATGAGTCATCATATGAAGATCCTTTTGCTTATAATAGGAAAAAGGTATATGGATGGATAAGGTTGATCATCCTCTAGAAATGGGGCTAATCAGAGGTCGACACGGAAAGAACCGAATGGATTTTTTTTTTTTTGTCATTATCGGAAGAATCTTTATTTCATATGAGGAAAATTAAATTAAATTATATAAGTTAAATCTGATGCCATTTTTAATGTTTTTTTTCTTTAATTAACAAATTTCATCCATAGATGTAAAAGAACCAATTTTGTTATTAATTGCTGTTAACTAAATTTAACGGAATGGTCCAATTCAGAAATCCAAAATTCTTTCATGGTAAAATTAATACAAAAAATACTTTAGATGTACAATTGATACTACCCTTATAGTTGAGTGGTATATTTGAGGTTTGCCTTTTTTCTTTCTTTCTGTCTTTTTTTTTGGTCATAAGCAACATTTTTTACTTGACTTTTCTCGTTGAAATTCAAGTACAAGAAGTAGACATCCTTTTTTTTTAATTAATCCTTCAAAAATTGCAGGTGTATGTTGAATAGTCAAATTTGATCTCCTTATGAATTCGGAATCCTATAACATACAGCTCTTCACTAACCCCTAAAAACATTCACTTTCACTTCTAATCTCAGAATTCACAAGATTTAACATGGCAGATCATTTGTTCAACAAGCAGGCAGCTAAATATTCAGATGCAAGGCCAGGTTATCCTAGCGAATGGTTCTCAATGTTGGCTGCTCTCACCCCTCATCGCTCTTTAGCTTGGGATGTTGGCACCGGCAATGGTCAAGCGGCTATTGGAGTTAGTTCTCTCGGTCGTTGAGATGTGATCAATCTTGGCCACTGCTCACTAGTTTTAAGCATCTTTTATTTCATACATATATAACTTCTGATCATAGACTTAATTTATTACTCTCGACCGGCCTAATTAGTCTGGTGAATCTGCATAAATCAGCAGTTGTGTTAATTAGACGTTGCTTCGTGTATGATTTTTGATCAATTTGTTATGATAATTATTTTGTGCAGGTTGCTGAGCATTACAAGCAAGTGATAGCAACTGACATAAGCGAAGAACAGTTAAAGCATGCCATACCACATCCCCAAGTTCAATACGTGCACACCCCGTTAACAATATCTGGTGATGAATTAGTGAGCTTGCTTGGTGGTGAAAACTCAGTCGATCTGATCACTGCGGCTACAGCTGTGCAGTGGTTTGATCTTGACAAGTTCTATCCGATCGTGAAGCGTGTTCTACGAAAGCCAGGAGGTATAATTGCGGTTTGGTGCTACGGCAGCATGGAATTTGGCCCAGAAATTGATTGCATGTTAAGGAGTTTTTTCGAGCTAAGTACACCTTTTCAAAGCCAAAGTTTCAAGATTGCATTAGGGGGTTACAAGACACTCCCATTTCCTTTCGAAAGTGTAGGTGTTGGGTGTGAGGGGCAGCCACTGGAATTGGACATGCGAAAGGAGATGTCATTTGAGGGACTTCTGAAGTTCCTTAGGTCACTTCCTGTAGTCCATATAGCTAAGGAACAAGGTGTTGATTTATTGACTCAAGAACTTGTAAAGGAATTTGAGAAGGCTTGGGGTGAGCCAAAATTGGTCAAGACTGCCGTCTATAAGACATATATGCTTGCTGGAAAGGTCAACCTCTAAATGAAAATGCTTAATGCAGCAGTGTTTCTCCCTTTAGAATTTTGAGTTCCATTGTACTGCAATCCTTGTTTAACATTCAAGAATAAATGATAATGTTTGCTTTTGTATTTTCCCAATTTCACTGCGATATTAGGAAGTTTGAAGTTTGTAAACTCTCTTTACTTGAGAAATAATACATTTGGGTTGTTCTGGGCTGAAACGAATCCAGTTTCTTCCCTTTTAATGTCGCAGCAAACTGTTCATTTCAGTTGTGATGCAGTACAAATTTCCAGTTTCTTTCCTCTTAATGGTTCCGTTTTCATGATGCAACAGCTAACAAGATTATATCGTGCTAGCCTCTCTCTTAAATTTTTTTTTGCTACAAAGGAGAGTTTCTAACTCTATAATTTTTCGAAAGAAAACAGATACCAATACCACTTGAGCTAGAACTCGTTCTCTCTCAATTAATTAAGCATGCTGCTTATGTATCTTGTACTATATCTTTAAGAAACTCCTTTATGAAATTTAACACTTAGCAATCATCGAGAATTTCTCCGATTCAGGATGAGTACTGATATTACTTGAGTTGCAGTTAATTGATTTTTTCTTTCTCAATTAATTAATTACGCATCCTTGTACATCTTGTACTATATGTTTAACAAACTCCCTTATGAAATTTAACCACTTAGCAATCAGAGAGATTTTCTTAAGGCATCTGCCTCTTGTTTTATGTATGGTTTTAATTTGCCAAAAGAATTGTGTTTTAGTCGTCTCAAAGATGGAGCCATTTACTTTCTTCGAAAGTGAACGCTTTAGTTAGAATTCCTTGTGTAATTTTAATAGATTACAAAGATGACTAATTTTGTTGGGTCAAACCTCTCATTATTCTCTGTAATTATATATAGGTAAGGTGCAATAAGCAACGTCTCATGCCCTCCATCGACCAGATTATACATTTCAATTTTAAACAAAGTTCAGTAGTCATCACTATCAGTACCTGGAAAAGGGGAATACTTTGTCGGCTTAATTTGTATTATTTGCCCGAATATGCTTCAACTTTCAAACTTTCGGCTCATTCTATTGGATTGTGCAAGAAGAAAAAAGAACATTGAAAAAGGATTACTATATAAACAAAAAGATCCTCCAAATATCTTGTGTGAATTTACTATCAGAGTTTACTACCTCTTCAAGTACGAAGAATGAGGAGTAATCACATGACAAAATTGACTACTAAATCCAAAATTTAAAAGTTATCTATATGTTCAATTTGTTCATTTATTAATTAAAAATTTAGTTAATTTTATTATGAATTCATTCTCTTTTTTTTTTTTTTTTTTTTTTTTTGACATTGGTGCAAGTTACACAAAAAAAAAAAAACCTAAATTGAGGATGGATATAGTCCATCATAATGTTTTGGACGGCATAAGATAGATACTTGGTTTTTTTTAGCAAAGAAAGTGTTTATGCCTTATATTTAAGATGAATTAGAAAGATTGGTTTGGTGAGTTGAGAACAAGATATGCTAAAGGAAAGATTAATTGCTATTTTTTAGCCTTTGTTAGTTAGTTGAAGTAGTTTGACCCAAAAGAATCAAGTATTTTCAATTCAGATTTGACTGTTCAAACATAGATGATATGGTACGATACTAACGGTTAAAGACCTTTCTTATTTTGCTCTAAATATCAACCTCATAGCAATTGTGAAAGGGTGTTCGACTTTTTTACCTTTAGCAAGACTTTTGAAGTATCTATCTTTTTATTAAAACTCTCCCACTCACACAGTAGACATCATCATGCTTACCACTCAACTTTGTGCCTAACTAGCACATTTGCTCCTCCTCTTATGACTCTCACTACTTCATTCATTCTATTTGATTGGTAATTATTATTTTTACAAATAAAAAAAATACACTATAAAAAATAGGTAAATAGCAATCGACATATTTGTCACTAAAATGAACATTTATGTCACTATTTAGGTATCGTTACGGAATAGCGATGAAATAAACCATCACTAAAGTTCTTGTCACTAAGTTTGTTAGCAATAGATATTTTGATGTTATTTTGAGGTATTTCCATCACTATATTGTTGAAAACATTTGTATAAATATTTTGAATTTTGTCGCTATAAAGAGACTAAATCTATCGTTAAATGTTGTTGCTAATTTTAGTTGCTATCTCGTCGTTGACATCCATCATTATTTTCCATCGCTAAAGGTAAGTTTTCATCGCTATATCTATCGCTAATAGTTAAATTTAATTATTATTTTTTGTCATTAGGGTGTCGCTAATTCATCACTAAATTAAAATTTTTTTAATAGTTAATAGGCTTTTAAATGTTCTATCGTATTAGCCAACAACTAAAATTAAAATCATAATATAAAATATTATTAAATAATATCATATGAATATAAAATCAAATATCATATATATATATATATACACACACACACACACACACACGATCCGGTGTATGAACACATAAAAAAAGAATTTAAAAGAAAAATAATCCTCATCAAGATCATTTGCTACTTCAACTTCCGAATGTTGGGTATTGGAAGGAAAATCGGACTCCTAGGTAGAGAGACGGGGAAGGTTAAAAGAAGGGACATGACTCCCGAGTCTTTCCTTTAAAATCTATTCCATCCTCTCCATCTGCTAATACATACACTAGCTATCTACTTTGTATTTGCTCTCGACCTCCTCGATCCACCAAGCATAATTACGTTCCATATACTCCAACTTCTATTCGACTCGGTCATTATCTTACCGCATGTGACCCGAGAATCATGATGTGGCAAAGGTTGACCTAGCAACAAAACGAGGGTAAAATAAGGATGTCTATGTTTCGAGATAGTACACTATGTTTCTTCTCCCCTCTTATAGCCTCGACATATATATGTGACAAATTGATGCATACAGATTATGAAGAATCATGTTGTTGGGTAGCAACCGACACATGTAATTGGTTTACATGCTCTCATGCAATTTAAAAAATTATAATCTTAAATCATAAATATAATTTTTTGATTAAATTTGCATTTTTATAATTAAAATTACCTCAAATGCTTGGGATCGCAAATCCATGAATGACTCATCCCGGTGCTTATAAGTTCTCACGAGCAACTCATAAGGATTTGGATAATGACGAACTAATTAGCCTAAAAAAATGAAAATAAAAATATGAGATGCAATAAATAATCAAATATTAATTTATAATGCAATGGATAATAGAATTTATCATCCGTTGAGCTTGCTCAATCTATGAGATGAAGCCTTCTTATGTCTAGATGGCCTAGCACCATTTGCCTCGCTCTTGCTATGCTATACCGTCCGCTCAAAACAAGCCGGAGACTCCAAGTGTGTTTCAATCCCATCGCCATGCATCCCACACCAGTGCTAGGACATATTGGGGTTTGTTGGTCTTTTTCTTGTAGGCTGGTCAACGATCGACATACCCTTGTATGTCGGACATTCCCATCACGTCTTAACCATCAAGTTGATAGCATCATCCCATAAAAAAAATGCTTTTACGAGGAAGGAAAAAAATTAATATTAGTATGTTTTATGTTACTAATTTAAATGTAATATAAAGATATAAATAAAAATATTACTTTAAACTTATCTTAGTAAAAATGTTTTGTCCCCTTTAAGATTGACTTCCACTTCGAGTCGAAAGTTTCTAAATGCTCATTGAAAATTCTAGTGATTCGAGTAGCGGACTAATTAGATGGAAATAAAGTGTTGAGCACTATAAATAAAAAATCAATCAGTTAATAAATATTTCAAATAATATATCCAAATATAAAAATAATTACTACTTATAAATCATTAACAACACGACTATTACGGTCATCATAAAAATACAAAAACCAACTCGACTATCTCATGTTCAATACATTTTTTCCTAGAAGTTAAACAAAATTTCGACGAGTCTTCCCCGTGAATTAAATATTTTCTAATTATTGATTACTCTACTCGTATAAAAAATAATACATCCAAAATACATAACACACATTCAAAATGCACAACACAACACATGTCATGGCCTATATAGTTTCAAGTGATATGATTTAATAAATAAGATAAATAAAAAATACTTTATTATCTTGATTTAATAAACACACACAAAAAAAAAACATCTATTCTATATCGGTTTATCGAATACAATAAATAAAAGAGATCTTTAATTACTATTATCATAATCATCATCTAAGGGCTCCTCGTCCTAAGTCCGACTCCAATTCATAATCACTCTCATCTTCTTCATTAATTATGGCTCCTTTTATATCTATAAACGATCTATTTGGATGAGTCAACTACTCCTCATCATCAACATGTATCATATCATGTTGAGTTTCTAAATCGTCCTTTTGAAGTATGTTGTTGGACTATGATAGACGACTCTAGAAAATCCACTATGGCTTTAGCTTTTATCTTACAAATAGCCCATTAATCATTCTTATCATACTTCAAGCTAGGGCTTATGGATTAATACACTTAGATCTGTTTGAGATGATAGAACAAAGTGTTCATATCCGTTGAAAGACTTTCTATAGTTTATCTTTGCTAGTCTACACAAGAGATGTACTTTTGTACAATTTGGTGAAGGATCAAACCAATTTTATTTAAGCAAAACACTCCTCTTGATTGGCGATGCGGGATACTCTAAATGCAAAATTTTGATCAACTTAACGTAATAGTCTTTTTCATCTACATTGTAATTATTAGTATATGTGTCTAAGATCTAACTTTTTGGATGGTTTAAATATTATATTATTACATATTTATTAATAAAAAAAGTCTTTCTATTAATTTGTATTATTTATAACTTGATTGCATTAAATAGAAGTTTATATGATGTTCATTGCTTTGATTATTGATCAATAGATGTGAGATAAACACCAATGCACTTAAATAGAATCCTTAAATGTTTCAAGTCATAGCATTATCGAAATTAGATATTAACAATATGTTGTAACACTTTTTTGTGCTATGCTTTTGTTATAAGGTAGTAGTAAG